GTTTCCCTGATGCAAAACTGCTCTGAAATTGAGCATCTGAATACAGACTAAGGAAGGTAGTAGGCAGCAGAAAAGAAGGTAGGAGTTTGCGTGAAGCCAATACTCTCTTTTTCAACTAATGTCAAAGCAGATAACAGAAAATTAAGGGAGAAGGGACAAGAGTGAGAGGCTTTCACACCTGAAAAAATTAATGTGAGTTGGTGAAATAAATAGATCAAGAAGTTGATGGACTAACATGAAATGGGCAGTACAAGGGTGTACTGATGGCTTGTCAACATCCTAAAGGAAGAAACTGAAAACAAATGTGAGGGTCTTAGACAGAAGTTGATATACAAAGAATTTGAGGCATTGATTATATTTTCTACAAGGACAGGAAAGTGATGAATACAAACAGTCAGAGATTCATGATACTGTGCAGTATGATTTTGAATATACTCTACTTGCCTTTACAAGTTGCTTTTAATAATATAACTTTTGATTATTTTTCCCTCTTCAAGCTTTCTTCTGATAATTGTTTATCACATAAACAAGTATATATAAAAATTGTATATAAATGTACTAAATGTACATATGAAAATTTGATTTTACACATTATATTCAATCAGCTTGATTGAACTCTCTTTCTTACTCCTTACATCTTTATAAATTAATGGCAAGTCATTTATACATCTAGGAATCAGTGATATGAGACCTATGTTAAGATTTCATTTCTACTGACATTGATTTTGTACAGTGAGAGAACCCTCTTTCTCTGCATTATGAATGAATCAGAGGAAAGAACTCTTGCTATTAGTTCAAAATCGGTGTAACAGATAAACTGTCAGCCTTTCCCAAGTAGAACATCAAATCATTCAACTTTTGAAGAGTTTCCGCAAAAGAAGAGAAAAATAGTTATGATATGTGGTATTTCAATTTAATGATTATTTAAGACATGGAGAGAATCATAATTAAGCAAAGTCCACAAACTTTATGAGTTACCTAGAATAATTAATAACATGAGAACAACAATCCTTTATACAGGAAAATGTATAGTCTGTATAGTATATGTAATGTAATGTATAGTCACTATTCCCTCAGATTCTTTTAAAATTACATTTATCTGTTATTTAGGATGATAACTATAAAGTAAATAAGCTAAAACAGAATAAAAGGAACTATAATTTTCAATGAAGTTTTGTGGGGTTCTTGGAGGCTATTTGGGGTCATTTTTGAGAAATCTTATATGAAAACATTTGTCTATAAACAAGAAACAGCAAGTAATTCCACTTTGAATTTTAAAAGTAAATATGGATGGAATAATAAGGAGTGTGTAGTTGTCATAAAAAATTTGGTTTTCCAAAATATGTCATGAAAAGAGGAAAATGGGAAGAAGACAGATTGGACAAACAGTAAGATCAATGATTTTAACCAAAATTGTCATAATAAATGTAAGTGGTTAAATACCCTAATTAAAGGCAGAGATTGTCAGATTAGATTAAAAAAGCAATACCCAACTATATGCTGCCTACAAGACACAAACTTCAACTATAAAAACACATATAGATTAAAGGTGAGAAAATATACCCAGAGAGATAAATAGATCAACACAAGAGTGGAGAACTATGAATAAACCTACAAGTATGTGGACAACTGATTTTAAACAAATATGCAAAGGAAATTGACTGGCAAAAGGATTTTTTTTTTTTTTTTTTTTTTTTTTGCGGTACGCGGGCCTCTCACTGTTGTGGCCTCTCCCGTTGCAGAGCACAGGCTCTGGACGCGCAGGCTCAGTGGCCATAGCTCACAGGCCCAGCCGCTCCACCACATGTGGGATCTTCCTGGACTGGGGCACGAACCCGTGTCCCCTGCATCAGCAGGCGGACTCTCAACCGCTGTGCCACCAGGGAAGCCCAAGGATTGTATTTTCAACAAATGGTCCTAGAAAAATTGGATATCTACATGCAAAAAAAGAAAAGAAAAAAAGGAATAGATCCTTACCTAGTACCTGTGTTGGTGAATTTTATGTGTCAACTTTACTGGGTCATGGGGAGCCCAGGTATTTGGTTAAACATTACTTGTGAATATGTCTGCAGGGTATTTCTGGGATGAGATTAGCATTGGAATTGGTAGACTGAGTGAAGCAAAGTGGATAGGCATCATCTAATTCATTGAAGGCCTGAATAGAACATATTCACTCTCTCTGCCTGACTCCTGAACTGGTACATCAATCTACTTCTGCCCTTGGACTGGGACTTAAACCATCTGTGCTCTTGGTCCTTAGGCCTTTGGACTCAGATTAAACTGTACCATGGACTTCCCTGGGTCTTCAGTTTGTAGATGGCAGACAAGGGAATTCCCAGCCTCTATAATTGTGAGCCAATTCTTTATAATAAATTATATAAAATATGTAGATATAGATATAGATAAAAATATCCTATTTATTCTGTTTTTCTGGAGAACCCTAACTAATACAGTATAATATACAAGCTAACTTAAAATAGACCATAGACCATATGAACCAAAACTCATAATGCTTCTAAAAGATAACAGCAGACAAAACTTTTGTTACCTTGGGGTTAGACAAAAGTTTCTTAGATATGATGCCCAAAGCACGATTTATAAAAGATGAAATTGATAAATTGGACTTCACCAAAATTAAAAACTTCTACTTTTCAAAAGACAGTGTTAAAGGAACAAAAAGGCAAGGCTAAGACAAGGAAACAGTACTTGCAGAATCTGTAAAGAACTCTCAATGCTTAATAGTAAGAAAACAATCAATCCAATATAAAATGGGCAGAAGATTTGGTGGCACTTCACCAAACAAGATATATGGATAGCAAATAAACACATTAAAAAATGTTCAACATCTTTAATCATTTAAATGCAAATCAAATCCACAATGAGATACCGCTACATAATATTAGGAAGGTTAAAATTAAACAGGCTGACCATACCAAATATTGATGAAGATATGAGGAAACTTCAGCTCCTGAGTTGAGTTCATTGCTGTTGGGAATGTAAAATGGTACAAATACTTTGAAAAACAATTTGACAGTTTCTTAAAATGTTGACCCTGTACTTATCATATTATCCAGCCATTTCTGTCCAAAGGAAATGAAAGTGTATGTCCATACAAAGACTTGTAAGTGGATGTTCACTGTAACTTAATTTTTTTTTTGTAACTTAATTTTTAATAGCCCCAAATGGGAAACAGTCTGAATGTCTAGCAATAGGTGATTGGTTTAAAAAATGTGGCATATCCGTGCAATGGAATATTCTCAGTAAGAAAGATGCATGAATATTGATACAGCAACATGTATAAATCTCAAAATAATTATGCAGAGTTAAAGAAACTACATAAAAACAGAGTACATACTGTATATTTCTACTTACATAAAATTCTAGGGAATGTAAACTAATGGGTATTGAGTAACAGAAAGCCGGCCAATGGCTGTCTGAGGGCAAGGGGCGGGGGGAAGGGATTACATAGGTCATGAGGAATCATTTGGAGGTAATGGATACATTCATTGCCTGGATTGAATACATGTAACTCATGATTTCAGGCATCTGTCAAAACATCAAATTGTATACTTTATGTATGAGCAGTATATGTCATATATACTTCAATAAAACTATTAAGCATACACACACACACATACACACAAGGTTTCTCTCTTAAACTATACTGGAAGACATTATTCAATTAAGTAGTCATAAATTAAAAAGATATCTTGATAGGTCTGTGTCTGCCTTGAGAAAGAATTTTATACAGTTTAACATAGGTTCCTCCTTAAGGCTCCAGAATATAGGAGAAAGAATACATGAATTGGGAGATTTTGTTTCCTTGTTTTAAAACTAATCAGCATCACGGATGCTGGTAATTCACTTTCTCAGGCATTTGTTAGAGAAGGTAACTTTCACAGATATGATCCCTCTTTAAATTACAATTGCATAGTTAATGCTATTCCATCCCATCTCACAAATGCTCTGACCATAACAATTTGCATCCCTTATTAAATACAGTTGGTAACTAATGGGAAGATAAACAGGATTTTGATGTTTTCATCTTCTGAGAACTTATTAATATTTTATGAAAACCACATATAATTGGGTTTCAGACATCTCAAATCACTTTTCAGACACCCAGAATAACATTTGAAGTGTTTATAGGCCCTTCTTATTCAATAGCTATCCGTTCACTAAAATTATGTTTTTCAGTATAAATAATAATACACTGAATAAGTATTATTTGATATAAAAGGGAACAGAAATGGTAAACCTTAAGTGGCAGTTTTAAAACATGGCCTCAAATTCTTTGGCACTTCTCTCATCAATAAAAAATATAGAGATAAGACTAAAGACCTTTGTTACTACTGTAATCTCTATACCTCCTCATAAATAACCACCACACTTTGTTTAAAATTATTTCAAAACTTTTTTCTTACTTGTGCCAATTTGACTCAAATATCAAGGTAATCTTAGTTGCAGTGTACCAGAGGTCTGTAAGAAACTTGTATTTTATTTCCATTTCTTTTCCCCCTTCTTACATTTCATATATTCTTCTTTTTTCTTTCTTTTCCCCTTTTGATGTTTTTTGTTTTATGACAAATATCACTTGTTCTGTTTCTGCATGAAGTTCTCACATGGAATTGACGTCAAAATGTGTGGTGTGTTAGTGGAGCAAAGGGTTGGCTTTAGAAAGGTGTGTTTTGTTCCTTACCTTAATTGGAAAGTTAATTTCTGTCACTACTTCTCCCTAGAGTTTTGATATAGGCAATTGATATTTGTTCACTTTTATGAAAAATGCAATGGTACTACACATACAGTGACTGGGGCTCTGCAATATGAAAGAAGTGGAAGGTAAAGTGGGCCATAGTGACTAAGTAGGCAAGCAAAGTCATCTGCCACAGATCTCTCTCACTCCTTCAGAAATAGCTTTACTTAGGAAGATTCATATTAAAATGGTAAGTTTGGACGCAGGCTTCTGTTTTATTTCCCCTTGATTTTGGTGTGTTTTTCAGCTGCTGAAGGAATGGTGTGCAACCATCTCTGTTCAAACGATGGGTGTTGGGGACCTGGGCCAGACCAGTGCCTGTCGTGCCGTCGCTTCAGTAGGGGAAGGACCTGCATAGAGTCTTGTAACCTCTATGATGGGTAAGGCATCTTATAATGTCTCTATCTCATGAGCTTTGAGGTACTGATTGGTTCAGATATTAAAATAATAATAAAAGGGTAAAATTTCAGAATGTTTATGCTGGCCAAGATTTTTAAGGAGAGTTTTTGTTGCATAAAGGAGAAAACATATAAAAGAATTCTTTTAAGGGGAAATCATTTTATTTGAATGAACAAGATAAGTCAAAATGCATTTTGACTATTATGTACATATTTAAAAATGTGTACCAAAATAGATAATTCTTAATAAATTATAGCAATTTATGCTTATGCAAAATTGAAAAATGTATTTCTATTTTCTTTATAAAGGACATTGTGATAAGTAATATTTCCTCCTCAGTGTCTCAACCATCTTGTTTTTTGTCTCATGCTTTCCTATTAATCTTCACCTGGAATGACTGCGTAACTCTTGATTTTTTTTTTTCCATTTAGGTTGCGTGTCTATTTGATTGTGTATTAGGAACAACACACATTTCTATGTCTCAGACAACTGCTTAGCCCTATAGAGAAATTACCTTTGTAGTTGCTAGTTGAAAAGGTTTTCGAAAGTGTTCTGTCACTTTCTAAAAATAACCTAAGCTATATTTTACATCAAGTATTTTAAATTTTATCTACAGTACTACAATAATCAAACTGACAACAATAAAACTTAGTATATACCTTGTTGCATGGCATTTCATATACTCCTAAAATCACTTTATCCTAACATACCATTTCATGCATCACAGTTGTTCATTAGTGTGATAATGCAGTTTTTAGTACTGTCCCTGAGTCAAATTTTCCTATATTGCTCACTGAAAGGATTTTCAACATTTTTGTAAAAGGGTAGTTTTGAAGTTCTTTCTTCTTCTGCCTCATGAATTGTCCCATTTTAACAACCGTTTCTATGATCCCAGATAACATTTTATTTTTGTATTTTACATTAAAGGATAAAAATCTATGGATCTTAATAATATAGATATGTGTCTTCTTTGAAAGATGACAAAACCAATTCCCTCCATGAATTTAGGGGGAAAAAAGATTGAAATTAAAATTAGAAGTTTAAGTATGAAAACAATATTAAATCGGAATTTAATAGTTTGAAATGGTGATGACATTTGCACAACTGTGAATATACTAAAATATGCATTAAATTGTGCACTTTCAATAGGTGAATGTCATGGTATATGAATTATCTCTAAAAGCATTACTGAAAAAAGGGTTTAATAGTTTTATCAGGAAAATTTCAACTTGAAAATTTATAAAACACATCAACTCATACATTTGATAATAAATAGCAAATTATTTGCTACTTGTCTCATTGAATTGAACTGTAGTAATGCTTGTTCACATTATTATGAAAGATATTTCCTGTACATAAAATACATCAGATCAGATATGATTCTCTGTGTGTCTGGCAGTTGATGCCACTAAAATGGAACTAATAGACCTTAATTCCACTGTGTTACATTAAAAGTTTATTGAATACGTATGTGCGTTTCTAAGGAAGGAATAGATTATAGAAATCATTTTATCAAACAGAAGCATCTTATGAACAGTGAGAAGTGGGAAAATTAAGTGTTGACCAAAGTCATAACATTGTAAAAGCACCAAACCAACGCTAGAACTCAGGATGTCTGATTTTCATCCTGTTTCTTTACAGATGCCATTGTTTTTCTTTAATATTTCAGTTTTAAACTTGTCAGAAATATGAAATTGATGTATATGTGGATGTATACACTACCCTCTGTCTCATTTTTGTGAAACAATGAAAGCTAAGCAAAGGAAAAATACTGGTCCCCTAAATAAACAACACTGATTATCCTGTTGTTTTTGAAAGCTTAATATTTTCCAAATCATTAAATCAAACATATTAAAGAAATATAAAGTTTTTAATGTAGTTTTGCAGCAGTAATGGGGTCCTAGGAAATCATGCACAAGGTTTAGTTTAAAAGATAATAAATGAAAGTATCTTATAAATATCTGATGTAATTCTTGCCTACCCAATGATAGATGTCCCCACCTCCAATCTTGTGGTATTGCCAAATTACTTCCAACTTTGCCTGGCAGGTAAGACAGTCTTTGAGGAAACATGAATTCAAATTCTAACTTAATCACTTCCTACTTGAAATGTCCATCCACCGATAAATAACCTAATTGTCCTAAACTGTGTTTTCTTACATGGAAAATGGGAATAATAATGATGTGATTATTATTATATCATATTATAGTGTAATAATAATAATGATTGTGATTATCAAATGAGAAGATTCTTATTCGAATTCCTACTGTTAAAACAGTTATCATCATTTCCTTTTTGTGTCTATTAATCTGAGCTCATTAAATAGGTAGAACAGTCACTTTATACACTGCTGAAAATAAATACAAATATGACATTTACCAAAATCAGGGAACTTATTTATATATAAAAATAGTTTGACTATCATTAAAGAATAAATCCTAAAAAGAGGATTTTTTGAAGGGGGAAAAAAAAATCAGTTAATCCTGGCTGTTAGCACTCAAATCCAGATCATATAAGTCACTATATTTTTGCAACTCCTAACTACAATGCCCAAGTATTCAAAATGAACAAGAAAACTAATTGCAATGCAATCTTAATTTTTTTTTTCTTATCTGGCAACATGGTTAAATGCTTCTGAAACTTTAATAACAACAGAGAAACATCAGAAAGAGTGCCAGTCTAAGATCTTTGGAGGCATTTTTATGTTTAATATTCACAAGCTCTCATCGAAACACCCTTCTTTTCCTTTTTCAGAGGATATTTAGGGAATGAGGTCTAGAGAAGTTAAGGGATGTAAGACAGCAATATTAATCTTGGTGCTGGGAACACGAACCAAATCCAAAGTATTTGCTCTAGATCACAGGATTGGCTAAGGTAGCACACACACAACAAAACTGTGAGAAGTATACAGCAGCAAAAACGCAAAGCTCAGTAAGCAAAGCTCATGCTCACTAGAATGTGAATTTTTGTATCAGATTCAAGTGAAAGGGGATCTCTGGCAAAGTCACAGCACAATCACTAGGGGACAGGGAAGAAAAAAGGCAATGATGGAGACAGTGACAATAAATAAGTTGCAAGGAGGATCTGTTCTGAGAGCAGAAAGGAAGAGAGCCAGAAACCACACAGATAGAAGTCTACTCTATAAAAGAGGAGGCAGCTAGTTTGCCTCCATGATTTTTTTTTTTTTTTTTTTTTTTTTGCGGTACGCGGGCCTCTCACTGTCGCGGCCTCTCCCGTTGCGGAGCACAGGCTCCGGACGCGCAGGCTCAGCGGCCATGGCTCACGGGCCCAGCCGCTCCGCGGCATGTGGGATCTTCCCGGACCGGGGCACGAACCCGTGTCCCCTGCATCGGCAGGTGGACTCTGAACCACTGCGCCACCAGGGAAGCCCGCCTCCATGATTTTTTATGACATATTCATTTTACTCCTCAACTCTGTGTATGGGGAAGGGAGTTTTGGAGAAGAGAAAGGAAAGCATGACCCATGTTTTAGTACCATAAAAATTATTACCTTCATTTAGTATCCTAACTCTTTAGTCACCCAAGAAGCTGTTTTCAGAAACAGTGCTTTGCTGATGATTGCAGGGTGTGCTGTAAATATCATATAATTTCACTTACACATAATGCTTTTTATGCTCTTTACAATTTAGCTACCACCCCATTCCCAACCCCCACCCCAATACCAGGTCATTTTGACTTTCATATTCTGAAGATTTCCTCTATTGAATACTTTATATCACTTGTTGATGAAACATGCAAAATAAAAACTTTTTTATGTAACTAAGATGTTAAACTCAAGAAAATTTATAAAAAGTTAATCCATTGCAAACCAACACTTCACTTTGAGTGCAAAATCCATGTAACTAAATATGTACATTCATACATAAATAAACCATAGATTTATGCTATTTATTTTGAAAACCAAACCGTTATTTTACCTTGAAATATATGTAATCTTAATCTAACCAACAGAAAATATAGCCCACCCTTTGGATTTCAATCATCTGTTAAGGCTTTATAATAACCAAATAAGATAGTTCACTATGAAAAAAGAGTGATTATTTCACTCCAGGGAAAAATAAATTTGAATTTATCACCTAGTTAATCCATAATTGCCATATTTGCAATGCTATTAGTTTGGAATGGTCACTCATGATACAAAGGCACAAAATAATGAAGTAGCTATAAATATTTAGTCGTTTTGTTAATGACTCATAACTGAAATTCTAAATTGTTTATACCCAGTACTTCATCCTCTCACACGTTAGTGGAAATAGTGTGTTTTAAACATATTGTACATGACTGATACCCAATTATTGAAATGAAAACTTTTAGGATAGATATTAATTGGAAAACTTATATACTGGTAAATTTAATATTCAAGTAGCCACAAAATGTGAGGTTTGGGGAAGTGATGACCATCCTCCCACATTTTAATTAGAAAGTTTTAGAATGTTACCATTCAACTGTTTTTTATTTTATATCATATAGAATTCTTCAAAAAGAATTTAAACTGAAAAAGATGTTATATTAGATCAATAATCTAAGAAAATAAAATCTACCATAAAAAAGATATTTTTTCTAATTCTCCAAGAAAGATATTTTAAAAAAAAGAAAAGAAATCAAAGTGTTTTTGAAGTTTCACTAAAAATAAATGGAAGAATCTTGGGATTTGAAGGACAAGGATGGGGAACATTCATGTAACTTAGCAACAAGAAAAATACAATAGTTCTGTCAAAGTTTAAAAACTAAGCCTTCAGCCAAGAGTAAAATTTTATATAGAGACAAACAGGCACAGACTTACTTAAAATAGCAGAAACGGTTCTGCTGTGTCATCAAAAGAGTCATCCTCTTTTTTCTTTTCCTTTTTTTTTTTTGAGACTGCTGGAATCTCTCTCACAAGAGAGAGGTTTCCTGAATGAGTCTGTCATTGAACCCAATGGAGGGCCAGGAGAGCCATCTGACTGCAGTTTATCTTTTCTCCTAATGGAGAACTTACTCATTAATGTACAGGGAAATGATTCTGATGCTCCCGGCACTTAGAGAAACAAACTCTAGAATTTACTTTGCCAACAGGACTTTTAGCAGATGTTACTTCATTTGTTAAGTTGACAGCTTGTTTGCTTACACTGCCTCATACTGCTGATGTTTTCACAGTGAATTTCGGGAGTTTGAGAATGGCTCCATCTGTGTGGAGTGTGACCCCCAGTGTGAGAAGATGGAAGATGGCATCCTCACATGCCATGGACCGGTAAGCCTGAAGACACGTACGGTTGTGTTGGCTTATTTAGTTTCACGTATGAATGTCTGTCAAGTCATTGCTTTATCCCTTATCCATCCATTGAATAGGTATTTACAGCATGCTATGGGGAATCACATTCAACATTCTCCCCTCAAGAGGCTTACAGCTTAGTAGTAGAGATAAAGTATTTAAAACTTCAGTTTCTTAAATATTTATGTCCCAGATAATGTATTTAAAAAGAAGATATGGAGTTGTCCTTGAAGATTGCACATGGCTGAAAAGAGAGATACACAAATAATTATTGAAGCAAAATAATTGATAAAATATGTATAAATTGTTATATGAATACATTTGAGGGAGAAACTAAATATTTGAGATGGAAATTGAGACACCAAGGAAAGCCAAAGAAAAGTGATGTTTCAGCTATGCTTTGAAGAAGAATCTGAAATGAGGAAACATGTAAAGATACGTAAATGTGAAAGTTTATGTTGTGTTTGAGGTAAACTGTAACACGTTCGTACCTGTGTTTAATCATTTAACTATAATGGCATTATGAAGGAAAATTGAAAAAAAAGAGGAAAACAAGCACTCATAAACTAAAATCTAAAGCTGTGTGATAAGTACCATGGCCGAGAGAAAAACTGAACTATGATGATTGAAGGAGGGGCTATGGGATCAGGAAAGTCTTTATGGATAAGTTGACATTTATATAGTTTGAAGTTAGTCTTGTGGAGAAAATGATAATTATTTTCTAGACCTTCCTTTGGTTCCCATCATTCTTAATAATGAGGCTTTTTCTTAATAATGAGGTCAGTATGAGTTTGTCATTCCAAAGTGTCATATTCATCCTTCTTTAGACAAATTTCCAGTTTATTTGTGTATTGAGTCATCATTCAGTAAATAACTTGGGGACCAACATTTGGGTGTAGCCAAGAGCTCAACACTGCTCCATAAGAATTCATTTCAAATTTAAATAGTATTAATTTTTCTACCAGAGTGCTTATTCAGCACTTAATTAGCTTAGAAAAAAATTATCATTGAGCCCTCCAAACTTCCATTAGGCCCCAATGAGCTGTTCTGGAACTTCTTCTAAAGAAGGATGTGGAAAACTTGGACAGTTCAGAGGACTACCACAAAGGATGATTAAGCTTGGAAAACCAGACCTCTGAGAAAAAGAAGTGGTATGATTTGGCCTGAAGAACCAAAGTCTAAAAGACAATTTAATATGTAATGATCTCCAAGTAAGTATGCTAAGGGCATATGCAGCTATTTTCTTTTTCCACTAAGGATAGTCATTTAAAATACAATTAATCTGCAGCATGAGAAATGTGGACTCTGTAAAGAATGTCAGGAAACACAGGAAAGTAAAATTCCATAATGGGTTTGTTAAAGTAAGTTGAGCTGTCTCTCTCTATGAGACTTCTCTAAAAACCAGCATATTTAGGAACCATACATCATAGAATGAAAAACAAAAAATCTCTTTCCGAGAAAGAGACTTTGAAAATGTACAATTACAATAACCAAGAATTTGGCCATCTCCTTTGAACAAGGCAAACCACAAGAGTAGTCCCGTCTTTTTCAGTTCCTTATGCTGCCTCGTATGGTATAAAAGTATGCTAGTAAATAACTAGCTTATTGATTTCTTTGTTTTTACAGTCTATTTGATCATTCCTTTGTTCCTTAAAAGAATTGAGACAGTTTATAAAAATACACATTAAAAAGCCCTAAAAATTAATATTCTTGCAATTTTCAAAATTACTTGATAACCAAGAAAGAATGAAAAAACAGGTTTTTAGTGAAGACATTTTAATTCTGTAAGGACAACATTGTTGGGCCATATGCTTAAAATCACTATTCAGTGCTAAAATTGTAAATGAGTATGTCTAGAGATTAGAGAAGGCAATAAGTCAAAAGTAGAAAAAACTCCGTGAAGTTGAATCACTCATTTATGGAAGATCAGAGCATGAAATCAAGAAAACTGACTTGATCAGTAAGCCTTAAAATGCTAAGCAGGTAAGAGCACAGTGTCTTTTAGGTTATGGTATCTGAAAAACTGCCAGGATTGCGCTCAAGCAATAGCCCAAACTTTGCTCCCTCTAGGGGGTTGCTTGTTTTCAGCCTTTACAATTTATATTAGGTGTATGCCTGTTTCTGGGTCTACATGTTGTTTATCAAAACTAAAGACGGAAGTGGTTTTGTGTGCCAAGTAACCGGCATATATCACTTAGGATACCCAGGAGGTTCAGGAAACTTCTTCATGAGACTGATACAGTGATGAGATAGAGGAAGAAGTCATAAAGCTAACTGGAATTTCCACACCTGGTCTTATGATTTATTCTGCTGAAATCTCATTTTCTTGAACTGTTAATGTTTCCCTAATGATAAGAATTGATAAATATTTATATTTGTCAAACACTATTACCTCTGAAGCATACTATCACATTCTCCATTTAAAATATAAAGAAATTGAACCCATGGTAGTGATTAGAAAGTTACTCCAAAAGTCAGCAAGTCAGTAAGATGCGGAGCTGGGACTCAACTATAGAAGTTCTGACTCCAAATTTCACACTCTGTTCATTTCACTATTTTTCCCTAGGCAACAATGTCCGTAAAGTAATAAGGATAAAATGCTTTCTGGGAATATACATATGTAAAATGGATGGTATTATCCTATTTAAATGTGACAGACATTCAGGATAATCTTGAGAGGGGTGGATTTGAAATAAAACAAGCCTCTGCTTTTATATTCTCATCTGTCTGCACTTGGTCTTCTTTACTTTCTTCTTTTTCTTTCTTTTCTTTTCTATCTTTTCTTTCTTTACAATTTTATCTTTTCTGACTCACTTTCACTATTACTGTATAGTCCTATCAAGAAAGATAAGGGAGGGAATGTAAGAACAAAAGAAAAGGACATCAGACAAAGTCAAAGGAGACCAAAATATAAGCCACAGAGCCAGCAAGAGAAGGGAGGGAATAGGAGAAGGGAACTGATTTTTGGGGAGCGAGGGAAACTGATTTTTGAAACACAGTTTTTGTTAAAGCTAAAATAGCTGTTAAATCCAGGTTAATAGAGCTTGTGTTGCCACAACAAATAACCCCCATATTGCAGTAGCTTACAGAAAAATGTTTAAATCTTTTTCATGTAAAGTGCACTGCAGGTCTGGGGAACTTTCTAAGGCAGGACCCCCTCCCTGTGGTGGTCTGGCATTCCAGGATGCTTTGAAGTTATGGCATCTCTACATCTACATGGGATCCCCACGTCATGGCAGCTGGGAAAGAGAAGGCTGGAGAGTTTAGCACTGGCTCTCATAAATTGCTTTTACTTAATTTCATTGTCCAAAGCTGGAGAGTTTAGCACTGGCTCTCATAAATTGCTTTTACTTAATTTCATTGTCCAAAGCGAGACACACACCTCCCCTCTAGTGGGAGGGAATTTCCATATTCTGTGAGGCTGGAAGTAGAAGAGAATTGGATACTGGTGAATAGTGGCTTTCTCTCTTACAGCGGCTACCAGAGAAAAATACCAATTGTCACTGAGAAAAAAAAAAAAATGAAATGTTTCCCTCAGGATTTAGCCTATCCTTTAGTTTTCTGTCTAGATTACTGGGTCCAAGGGTAGCTTAAAATCAGAGATAAGGAAGAATGTTGCCTTCATCTCTCTTTTCGGTTGTTGCATTTATCAGTTCATTCGCTGTACCTAGCTTCTTAAAAGCTTTGGGAATATAATGATAAAAGAGTAAGTATTAGACAACATGTATTTCTTTAAATCTCTTTATTATGGAAATGAGATAGAGAATCAGACATTTCATTTCTTTTGAGATTTGTCAGGACATCTTTTAGTTGTGTCAGCTCAGGACATTTGATTTCATATCATGATAATACAATTAAATAGTTAAGAGATGCTTTAAAAACAATTAAGCACAAAAAAATTTATCCTATTAAAGTCTGCCTAAAGATTAAATGTGAATTTAATTTTAGTTTCATAAATTTTTTACATCTTCTGATTTTACCTGGACATTATTTTACATTAGAAGTATTTTATAGAAAAATAATTCCTAATTCTGACTACCACTGCCTAATTTACTCACAGTAAGTTTTATTCTTGTGTTCTGAAAGAAGACATCAGCATGTCTCTTGTCTTGTACAATGTCATACCACTGAGCATACTTGCACAGTAGATGATTTTGTATAATAGACAGTATTATGTGCTTAAGTACCCATGAGCAGGTGTTAAAATTGGAAACATGTGAAGTATTCTTTTTTGGTAGGAAATAAGTTGCCAGCAGCAAACTCTTCAGGTTGAATAGGGATTCTCTTTCACAGAATAAATAAGTATATATATACACACATATATATATGTACATACATATATATACATATATGTTTATATACATAAACAAATATATATATATATGAGATTTAGAAGTATGAGATTTAGATATACCTATAACTGTTTAGATAGATAGATAGATAGGTAGATAGATAGATAGATAATAGATACTCTAAATCTCACTTCAAAATAGTAAGATAGGTGTTTGATTGAACCTCACCAGTCTCAGGATTTCCAGAAATCTCTTCCTGATTACCCTTTCTTCTTTGTACTACTATTCTTCCTTAGCTGCCTTTATCTTTAAATTTTAAAGTATTATATTTCTTGATTTCCTGATGCCTTATATCACCACTTGCAATGTCTGGCTACTTTTGGATTAGCATCCGTAGAGAGATGTAACACACTCCCGTGAATAGACTGATCGCCACACGCCCTGTCTAATAAACAGTTCTGTAAAATGTTGCTTGCTCGTCTCCCAAATAGACATTGTTTATAATTATAAACTTAATAATATTAAATATTTCCCTCTATACTTAGTATATCTTATTTATCTAAATTATCTTCAATGTGACCTGTCCTAATTGTTAAACTATGTGAATATAAGCAGATTTTGGGGAGAAAAGAGTCAAGGTAAGAAGTTCCAAGAAGTAGTCAAAGAGAAGAGGAATCCTAAGACAATTTGATGTTCACAAAGGAGAACTAAAAGTAAATTTTGAGTAGGTAATATCATTATTTAAAACACCTGAATGTGTAAATATATGGACATCTTTTAAGGAAATAGTATTTTTCACCAAAATGTTCTCAATTTGATTTGAGAATGTACTACTTATCATTTCTTGCATGCTTACTATCCCCAGCACCACGTCCAAATCATTTTTTTGGTACAATTTTTAGATGTTTAATATGAATTTAAGATTTTTACTTTTGTTATGACATTTAAATATATTTACACGTTACTGCTTACTATAATTATACATATTAGATATTATAAACATAAATATATGAAGTGAGCTAGTTTTAGTTAGATTTATCATGCTCATATTTATATCACCTTCATTCTTGAGTAAGTTTCTCCATATAATTTTCTTTTGTATGTACAAGTTTTTGATTTTTGCTCATCAGATTGTGCCTTTATTGTGCTCTCAGTATTGTACTGTTATTTGCTAAAATCCCTATTAATAGACATGATTTTTAGCATTATCATAAGATGATATGAGTTGGAGAGTAACTTAGAAATTAACATTTGTTTGCCTAAACTACCTAATTCCTGATAACTCAACTATAGAAAAAAATTTAAATTCATTGTTCAAATAGTCATGGTACTACCAAAGGAAAGTTTACATCTCACTTGTATATGAAATTCAGTGTTACCTAGTTCCTACCATTTCCTTATTTTCATTAACTACTTAGTAAGAATTTTCACATATTCCCAGTGATTGTGATAAAATATTTCCAGGAATAATGTGTTGTTATCAAATATCGTTGCACTGTAATCTCACTAGGAATAAATGACAGAAAGAAAATGCTGATGTCCTTCTAGAAAAATCACTGGACAGTTTTGCTGATCAGAAAGCTACAATAGCAGCATCCCCATTTGTACTTCTGAAAATGCTCTTCAGTTCTCTAGAGGAAGATTGGCCACCCACTGAAGTCTCAGTAACTAGACCAGATGAATACATTCCAGAGGAAATGGCACCCAGTTTTATTCCTCTATTTTTTTTTTTTTCACACTTCAGGGACCTGACAACTGTACAAAGTGCTCCCATTTTAAGGATGGCCCGAACTGTGTGGAAAAATGTCCAGATGGCTTACAGGGGGCAAACAGTTTCATTTTCAAGTATGCTGATCAGGATCGGGAGTGCCACCCATGCCATCCAAACTGCACCCAAGGGTAAGCAACTTTACTGGTCCAAAGCTTAATCATGTGCGTATTACTAATCAAGAGGTGCATACGTGTATTTTATCCCTGACACAGTCTACTGAATACATAATATCTCACGCAAAATTCTATTCGTGTTTATATAATGTGTTGATTTTAAGAGAACTCTTTTCTATAAGAATGCTTTATGGAATCGAATTTATACCCTCTAAAATAGTTCTGTTGAACATTTTCCTGTAACTTCTATTGACACCTTCGTGAAGCTGGTATCAGGTATAATTTGTATGGAGTGTAGAAATTCTTCCAAATTTTACTGAGGATTAAAGATATCAGAAAAGACAAGTAATTGTACTTTTGAGATTCATGCTTAATAAATCTTTAACAGAGATTTTCTGTTTCTGTTTCTTTGTTGTTACAATCACTTTAAAGTGAAGGTCTCTTTTTGATAAATGCTGCCTTGTATTACTCCTTCAGCAAAATATAAGCAAAAGCAGTGATGGTAAAAAAAAAAAAAAAAAAAGGAACCAAGTGATATGTATTTTTATTAAAATACAAGTACATTTTGTGAAAGTGATTCTATTATAGGTTAACCTACAACCTAGTGTTTCTTCAACCAATATAGGACAATTCAAAGATGGGTACACATTTTTCTACTTTTCAAAAGGATGCATTGTAAAATGAATAATAATTAGACTACTTTTGATACTGATAACAGTTGAGTAACAAAGACATATTACAGAAAGAAGAAAAGCACTGAACTATAAAAGAAATAATGTCACTTCATCGAACAAATCCCAACAACTAGTTCTTTAAAAGACAGCAAATCTCTTTTAATAAGGACTTTTCCTTCTCTTTCCTGTAGAAGGGGAATAAATTTAGAATCAAGGGCAGTTTCACATGCTGTGTCCTCCTTCTGTCCAAAAAGCCTCTTCTCCATTGTGAGTGCCCACACACATGTGCACACACACATACAAACACACAGAGACACTTGTGGAGAATCATCTTGGGTGCTTTAGATCTGGCAGGAAAGTATGAGATTCCATAAAGAGATTTTCTGCCAGAGTAAGGGCTGGCTGTTAGGGGATATTGAAGAAGTTAAGCAAGCAACATCATTTTCTGCCAAGAGGACATCAATTTGCAGATGCTGCTACAATTTCCTGCAGGTCAAGAAATCAGCTTAATTCACTCTGTGAAGTGGCAGATCCTCAAAAGGTAAAGTAATATGCTGCCATTCAAATTCAGCTTGGAAGAGCTAATGCCACCTCACTGGTTTGAGGATACTGAAATAGTCACATAGACACTCTGCTTCAAGGAAATTAGAAAGAATAAGCTGCTCCCCTGGCGAGTTTTGGGCACACTTCAGTTAAGGGTATTTCATGAAGATACTGGTATTGCTGGAGCAGAAGGGTCAGCAACAGAAAGGGAAAACGTTGCCTGCTAAAATAATCATCCACAAGAGGGTTTTATTGTTTTGCATCTAAAATTAAACAAACATTATTCAATGTAATGTTGATGTCAACAGCTGTTGCCATTCAAAATGAGACCTTTTGCTGTTTTTGCAAATCTAATACAACAAAGCCATTAGGGAAATGAAAGTGAGATCACAGAGCCGTACATAGTCTGGATGTGTGGCTGGTGTGTCTTCCTCTCAGTCCTTTTAAATCATGATTATATAATAAAAGAAAAGATATATAGTGGGGGGAAAGTAGAAGGAGGGACAACGAATAGATCAATTTACCACAGTAACAAAAGTTGGATGTCAACCAAAAGGGAGGATGAAGGTGTAACAGGAAACAAACCTGACCAGATCACTTGGGAACCCTAGTAAATAAAATGATGACTTTAAATTCACTGGTGCAGAATGATGGTGAGACAGAATTTGACTAGTGTACTCCCTGGCATCTTCTAAGGTAAATGGATTCTGTAATGACTGACTTAATCCTGTCAGTTTCTTGTCTTTGTTTTCATTTATCTTCCTGCCATCCTTTTTCTAACAGCATCCGCATTGTCCAGGTTCACTCACTTCCTAAGAGTTCTGTGGTCTCAGCCTCAGAATGGAATTTAGGATTTGGGCATTTCTAAATGCTTAAGCCCTCCTCTGTACACTACTGCAGTGCAGCACTGTGCTTTGAGATCCTTTTAATGAAGCAATGAGGTGCTCTATGCATTCAGTTCCTTCCTTTCAAATTGAGCATGTAGAGATAGAATCTTTCCCTAGGAAGATCATAGGGGCAGTAGGGATGATGGGACAAGTGACTATTTTTATTCCTAAACATACATAATAAATGACCTATCAGTAAGCGTGAGCTCACCATGCCAACTCCACTTTGGAAAACAGCTTTTCTTTTATATGCCAATATTATGTCAGCTGGATAATTCAGGAACCAAGTTAATGGAAATAGTCTTTCAAATCATTTTTCAGAAGGAAGTTCTTACTTTGAATACTGTTTAATGATCATCTGAAAGTAAAATTATCATGTAATACCTTAAAAGCCCTTTTACCACTCTAAAAGCACATTAAATGTATTGACTCTAATAAGTTCTTTAGATGTTTTTAAAATAGGTGATCCATTTAGCTAGTACCTATCAGGAGAGTCTCACTAATATTCCTAGAGGAAAAAAAAATAACATTGTCTCCTCTTGCCTTGACTAGAGAACTTTTATTTTAGCAGCCTTTCTCATTTCATTCATTCTTCAACTTTGTTATATTGAACACCTGTTGTGTATCAGATACAGTGATAGCTAAGTTCAGAAATAAGCAAGACACAGCTCTTGATCACTAGGAGGTCACAGTCCAGTGAATTTTTATTCTTCCAATTTATATCCTTTCATCAGAGATCCCTCTGTATTTTGAAATGATTAGCAAGAATTTAAAACTTAGAAATGATATTCATATTTGAAATTAGCAAGGTAGAAATTTTAAAAGAGGACATGTAAACTAAATTTAGTGTGCAGTTGAGTAGTCGTAAGAGCAAAGATTATAGTTTCTTTACTAATATCACTTGCGTCCATGATGAATGTCAATTTAATTTTTGTTTGGAGACGTGAACTGGGATTTTTTTTTTTTTTTTTTTTTTCTTTGCGGTAAGCGGGACTCTCACTGCTGTGGCCTCTCCCGTTGCGGAGCACTGGCTCCGGACGTGCAGGCCCAGTGGCCATGGCTCATGGGCCCAGCCGCTCCACGGTATGTGGGATCCTCCCAGACCGGGGCACGAACCCGTGTCCCCTGCATCGGCCGGCGGACTCTCAACCACTGTGTCACCAGGGAAGCCCCGGGATATTTATTTTTAATAGGGCATCTTTAAAAAATTCATTAAAAGTTTTTAGTAATATTAGAATCATGATTTGATACTATTAAATTTTCTATATGCCTTAATATTTTTCTTATCAATTCTTTTTATATTTTTAAATGTATGTAATGAAAGAATTTCCATTGCTGGAGAGAACAAAAGAAGGGCTGCTTGTGGAATTATTGTCGATAACTTCTGTAATGAAATTTTAAAATATTTTTCCATTTTAATTTCAAAATTCAGAGAAGATTTTGTCAAAATATCTCAACTATGTTACTTGTATGGGTATATCAAGGTGTTCATAAATCAGTAAGTACAAGCAAATGTTAAACACAGCTCAATATTTGGAATTCCAGTTTTTTTAATATATTAACATGTTACAGTTTCTCTTTCTGAACTTTCTGTAAAGTTTCTACTTTAGAACACTAATTATCTAGAGAATTATATTATTTCACATCTTTATTCAGTCTCTTATTTGGGATTTTGACTCTTCAAAAGTTTAATGTTTCCATTATTCTTTGATTTTCCTGAATCTACATAAATTGCATGTACTAATTATTTGCTTATGTCAAGTACAAAGAGTTGAAATAGAATATACATCTTTAAATACACAGTGATTTGTATTTAGAAAAAATGGGACCACACTCTTATTCTGTCTTCCATTCTTGTTTTATCCTCAACTTATAAATACCTTTAAATCTCAAATACCCTACAAAATCTCCTAGACAAACTTTCTTGACCTCACACCCCACCCCCTCAGTAGCTCTTCCCTTTTCCCTTGCTTCTATTCTCTTATTTGCAATTTGCTTCTCAACTCACAGCAACCTAAATTCTAGTGACCTTGACTATGACAACTAACATACTCTTAGTAGGTCTTTTACTAGACCTCTCTTGCACTTGACAACGATCGATGATCATCCATTTCCTGAAGTTTTTTCATGATTTGGCTTCCATGACACTGCAATTAATGGATTTTACTCAAACATATTTTCCTATGTTTCTGGCTTATGAGCTCATCTTATGTCATTTACTAATTACTGGAGTTCCTTGAGTTTCAGTCTCAGTCTCTTCTTTTCTCACTTTATAGATCCTTCTTCAGCCATCACATCCACTTACATGATTTCAGCCTTCTCCTGTATGATGTTTCAAAACTGGATCATTGTACCTGTGCCTCCTGCTTCCCTCTCCTCCCCCCACACCGTCCCCTCCAGCAGACTCATCTTTCCAGATGCTGAGGAACATTTCTACCTGGTTGTAGGAAAACCACACTAAACTTTAGATACCTAAGACTGAAACATCAACGCTGCTTCCGGAACACACACACACAGAGGAAGGTATTCCTCCTCTTGCATTCTCTCACTGATGGTACCACTATTCTCAAAGTTAGAAGTATGAGTCATCTTTAACTCCTTTGATCTTTCCTCTTCCATCATCAAATCAGCCACCAACTACTGTTTTTTTTTTTTTTTCCGCATACGTTTCAAGGTATTCCTTAAATCCAACTCTGCCTCTATCCTAGTTACCATTTCCCTAGTTTAATCCTTCATCATCTCTTACAGAGACTAAAACAGTCTCTGTGCCAAAGGGATCTGTCTGGCTCCCAGCTGACTAGCCTTCAGTGGGCAAAGAGATCATTGTATAACACACATCTAGCAATTTCACAACTTCTTTAGAACCCTGCAGTGGTTTCCCATTGTTTGTTCCTAAGCAGACAGTCTTCAGTTCTGGTTCCTTTCTAGTGATCTAGCTTCTTTTTTTCCTTCTCCCTGTTGCCTCATATGTTGTTCTCTAACTATTCAGAATTATTTGTAGCTGTTCGTATACTCTCTACCCTTCCTCAGATCGATGCTTTTGCTCCTGCTGTTTCTTACCCCTTAGAAATTATTGCCCCCCAATCCTGGTTATCAGGACTCTGAACTCTGAACTTCAGTTTTCTAACTTCTCCGAGGGTGTGACCCCAACCTTCTGAAACTCTGTGTCCCTCCTCCACACTCTCCTAAGTCACTGGTTCGTGTTCCTCATTATATTTATCGTATTGTACAATACACATATGTTTATGCATCTGTCTCCTTCATTAAAGTTTGAGCTCATTAAAAATAGGAAAATGTCTAATTCATCTTTTTTCTCCCCCCAGCTCCTAGAATAGTAGGAACACTTAGTAGGCATGTGACGGAGTTTTTTTTTTTTTAATGGATGAATGAAGATCTTTCATTATTCACTCTTTAACTTTCCCCTCAAGTTAAAGCTTACTTTCAAATACATTTATCTTTCAAAGGTTATAATAAATACAGATTACAAACTAACCATAGCTTTCAGATTATCATTTGGAAGTAAGAAGTAGACTATTAATTTTACAAAAATGGCACTACTGTATTTTAAGAAAGCATTTTGAAGAAGGTATAACTGGAAACTAGAAAAAAATAAGTCCTTTGGAATAGAAGAAAACCATATAAGACAATTTGCAAACTTTTATACTAATTGTTTTTTATTTTTAGAAATGGTTTTGATTATGAATTTTGGAACCAATTCAATGCTATGTGCTCTATATTTTTATTTAAATTTCTTATTTGCTTTTTTTTAAAAGCTTTTTTCACAGTGTATTTCATGTATTTCTGTACATTAATATTTTTCTAAGCCACTCAAAGCCAATCCTCAAAAGAAAAATAATTTTCCACCTAGTAGGAATATTATAACTGATACTGATGAAGGAGGAAAATAGTGACTTAATTATTATTATACATAGTTATATTTATTTACGTGTTACAGAGTTTTCTAAAGATATAATGGACAGTCTGGCCTTATACAAGAGCACCTTATTACTTCATTACATAATGATTTTAACTTCAACTTCTTTTTCAGTTTTAGAAATTAGAATTTGGAAAAAATATTACAAGAAGAATGAGACAGTTCAATAAATCATAGCTGTACAAGGAATCTTGATACTGCACTGCAGCTATATGTGTTTAATGAGAGAAAAGGGAAAGAAATACAATTCAAATTTATTGGTAGATGGAAGAAATATTTCTGTAATACTTCAAAATCAGAATTCTGTGTACTTATATAATTTTACTTAAATGTTAACCTCTGTGGATTCTTTACTTACCTGAGTCTCAAGTTATTCATTTCCTTGGGGAGTACTTACTTATTTTTTATTGTTTGAGTTACATATTATGGCAGTTTAAAAACCTGTTTTCACTTGACTGTTATGGCACTGATTTTTTAAAAGCAAGTATCAAGATAAACTGCAGTATGGTGAAACCAGTTAATTTGCCTGTTAAATGAATTCATGTTTAAACATAAGTATGTTTTAAAGACAGTCACAACCAAGGAATGGAATAATGTGATTGTGTAAAGTATCCATGAGAATAACGTTAAAGCACATTAACTCATTTTCTGCTAAAATCAATCTTTAATAATGAGTATTAAGCGTCAGGTTATTATATTATATTGAATAGCTCATGTTTTCTTTTTTATTGATTCTGTTTTTTACTTCAGCTTAAAGCCTTTTAGAAGAAACTGTATACATGAAACCAATTATAGCCATTGAAATATCAAGTTATTCATCAAGACATAATATCACCAATGGTTCAAATGAATGTAAAGTATTAGAAATGAGCAATATGTGCTTGGAAATTATCCACAGAAACAGAGTACAGTTTCCTTTACTGTGGACTTGTTTCTTTGCATTCCATTTGTGTAGTATTTACAATTTATTTCTGGGTATCCATCAAGTACAGTAACCTTCTCACTAGCTTTAAATTCATGATATTCAAAAATTGTCTATTAACAATAATTAAGATTTTGACACCATCGGTATTTGTCTTATATCTTCTTTTTAAAAATGACTAATTTTTCTTTCCTTGTATTTTTAAAATTTGGATCTTCTGCAGGTGCATAGGCTCAAGTATTGAAGACTGCATCGGCCTGATGGATAGGTACTTGGTGTGCTTGCTTCCCATGTTCTTCCTCCAAGGCTCCATGTGTGAGCACTGGTGCATGTGTGTGCATGCCACTGTGAATGGAGAATGATGTTTTCTGTTCTGTAATTGCCTGCAGGTGTAGCGGTCCTACTAGTCATGACTGCATTTACTACCTTTGGACGGGCCATTCCACTTTACCACAACATGCTAGGTAACATCTACCATGTTTCCATTTTGTCACTCAAATCCTTTCCCAGTTATCATGGATAAAAAAGTACTAACCAGTTGGGTGAAATTTATAATACGTTAAATCAGGGAGTTGTGAAAGAGGCATGTAACCCTTTACTTTTCAAGCCACATTTCTTACCTCTTCTTCCTTTTTTCATTATGACTGTAGAATCCAAATTAGTAATATCATTGATTTTTAATTTTGTAAAATTTAAACAATATTTTAAATATTAATCTAGAGCTTTAATAGTATTTATGTTCTTAATTATGTAGATGATTGCAAAAAATATTTTTAAGAGTGTAATTTGCAGAATTTGCAGGTGTTTGTTACTTGATTCAATTTCTGATTTTATGTTATTTTGAACTGGTTGGTATATTCCCTAGGCATAAGCATTACTATAGACTAAAGGCAGTGTAGAAAATATTTTGTGCCGGTGAAATTACAAGTTAGAATTAAAAAACAAAATATTTCACTAATGTTTATACAAAAACCTATACATAAATGTTTGTAGTGGTTTTATTCAAAATCACCAGAACCTGGAAATTACTCAAATGTTTTTTAACTGTGGTATATCTGTACATTGTAACATTACTCAGCAACAGAAAGGAACAAACTGCTGACTTACACAAAACATGGATGGATCTCAAAAACATTAAGCTAAGTGTAGTGTTAGATTGTTTATTTGAGATTTTTCTTGTTTCTTGATGTAAGATTGTATTGCTATAAACGTCCCTCTTAGAAATGCTTTTGCTGTGTCCCATAGGTTTTGGGCCATCGTATTTTCATTGTCATTTGTTTCTGTGTATTTTTTAATTTCTTCTTTGGTTTCTTCAGTGATCTCTTGGTTATTTAGTAGCACACTGTTTAGCTTCCATGTATTTGTGTTTTTTACAGTTTTTTTCCTGTAATTGGTTTCCAATCTCATAGCGTTGTGGGCAGAAAAGATGCTTGATACAATATCAATTTTCTTAAATTTTCGGAGGCTTAATTTGTGACCCAAGATGTGATCTATCCTGGAGAATGTTCCATGTGCACTTGAGAAGAAAGTGTATTCTGCCACTTTTGGGTGGAATGTTCTATAAATATCAATTAGATCTGGTCTATTGTGTCATTTAAAGCTTGTGTTTCCTTATTAATTTTCTGTTTGGGTGATCTATCCATTTGTGTAAGTGGTGTGTTAAAGTCCCCTACTATTATTGTGTTGCTGTCGATTTCTCCTTTCATGGTTGTTAGCATTTGCCTTATGTATTGAGATGCTCCTATGTTGGGTGCATAAGCATTTATAATTGTTGTATCTTCTTCTTGGATTGATCCTTTGATCATTATGTAGTGTCCCTTCTTATCTCTTGTAACAGTCTTTATTTTAAAGTCCATTTTACCTGATACAAGTATTGCTACTCCAGCTTTCTTCTGATTTCCATTTGCATGGAATATCTTTTTTCCATCCCCTCACTTTCAGTCTGTATGTGTCCCTAGGTGTGAAGTGGGTCTCTTGTAGACAGCATATATATGGGTCTTGTTTTTGTATCCATTCAGCCGGTCTGTGTCTTTTGGTTGGGGCATTTAATCCATTTATATTTAAAGTTATTATTGATATGCATGTCCCTCTTACCATTTTCTTAATTGTTCTGGGTTTGTTTTTGTGGGTCTTTTTCTTCTCTTGTGTTTCCTACCTAGAGAAGTTTCTTTAGCATTTGTTGTAAAGCTGGTTTGGTGGTGCTGAATTCTCTTAGCTTTTGCTTGTCTGATGACTTCTTCATCGAATCTGAATGAGATCCTTTCTGGTTAGAGTAATCTTGGTTGTAGGTTTTTCCCTTTCATCACTTTAATTATATCCTGCCACTCACTTCTGGCTTGCAGAGTTTCTGCTGAAAAATCAGCTGATAACCTTATGGGGATTCCTTTGTATGTTATATTTTGTTTTTCCCTCGCTGCTTTTAATATTTTTTCTTTGAATTTAATTTTTGTTAGTTTGATTAATATGTGTCTTGGTGTGTTTTTCCTAGAGTTTATCTGTATGGGACTCTCTGTGCTTCCTGGACTTGGGTGACTATTTCCTTTCCCATGTTAGGGAAATTTTCCACTATAATCTCTTCAACTATTTTCTCAGACCCTTTCTTTTTCTCTTCTTCTTCTGGGACCCCTATAATTCGAATGTTGGTGCATTTAGTGTTGTCCCAGAGGTCTCTGAGAATGTCCTCGGTTCTTTTCATTCCTTTTTCTTTATTCTGCTCCTCGGCAGTTATTTCCACCATTTTGTCTTCCAGCTCACTTATAAGTTCTTCTGCCTCAGTTATTCTGTTATTGATTCCTTCTAGTGTATTTTTCATTTCCGTTATTGTGTTGTTCATCTCTGTTTATTTATTCTGTAGTTCACCTAGATTTTTGTTAAACATTTCTTGTATTTTCTCAGTCCATGCCTCCATTCCATTTCCAAGATTCTGGGTCTTCTTTACTATCATTACTCTGAATTCTTTTTCAGGTAGACTGCCTATTTCCTCTTCATTTATTTGGTCTTGTAGGTTTTTACCTTGCTCCTTCATCTGTGACATATTTTTTTGCCATCTCATTTTTCTTTTTTTTTTAATGAGTGAGATTGTGTTCCTGTCTTACTGCTTGTTTGGCCTGAGGCTTCCAACACTGGGGTTTATAGGCTGTTGGGTAGAGCTGGGTCTTGGTGCTGAGATGAGTAAATCCATGAGACCTCACTCCGATGAATATTCCCTGGGGTCTGAGGTTCTCTGTGAGGCCAGTTGTTCAGACTCGGAGCTTCCAGTGCAGGAACTTCGGCCTGACCCCGGGCTCGTGAACCAATATCCCACAAGCTGCCTGAGGCAGCAAAAGAAAAAAAAAAAAAAAAAGCAGTAACAAAGTAAAAAATAAAATTAGACTAGGAAACTAATAGATAGGTTAGGAAGAATATAAAAATAAGTGGGAATGTAAATTGATACAACCAGTATGGGAAAAAGTATGGAGGTCCTTAAAAAACTAAAAATAGAACTACCATATGACCCAGCAATCCCACTACTGGACATATACCCTAAGAAAACCATAATTCAAAAAGAGACATGTACCACAATGTTCATTGCAGCACTATTTACAATAGCCAGGACATGGTACCAACCTAAATGTCCATCGACAGATGAATGGATAAAGAAGATGTGGCACATATATACAATGGAATATTACTCAGCCATAAAAAGAAATGAAATTGAGTTATTTGTAGTGAGGTGGATGGACTTAGAGTCTGTCATACAGAGTGAAGTAAGTCAGAAAGAGAAAAACAAGTACTGTATGCTAACACATATGTATGGAATCTAAAAAAAAAAAAAAATGGTACTGATGAACCTAGTTGCAGGGCAGGAATAAAGAGGTAGACATAGAAAATGGACTTGAGGACATGGGGTGGGGTGGGAGGGCAAAGCTGGGGCGAAGTGAGAGTAGCAGTGACATATATACACTACCATGTAAAATATTTAGCTAGTGGGAAGCAGCAGCATGGCCCAGGAGATCAGCTTGGTGCTTTGCCACAACCTAGAGGGGTGGGATAGGGAGGGTGGGAGGGAGGCTCAAGAGGGAAGCAATATGGGGACATGTGTATGCATATGGCTGATTCACTTTGTTATGCAACATTAACTAACACAGTGTTATGAAGCAATTATACTCCAATAAAGATCTATTAAAAAATAAAAACATTAAGCTAAATGAAAGAAGCTAGACTTAAAAGAATACATAGTATAGGATTCCATTTATAAGGCATTCTTGGAAAGGAAGAACTATGGAGACAGAAGTCGATCCGTATTGCCAGGAACTGGGAGGTGGGAGATGAGTTGGACAACAAAAGGTCATAAGGAAATTTGAGGAGATGAAGGAACTGTTCTGTATCTTGATAGTGGTGATGGTTGCACAAATGTATGGGCTTGTCAAAAATGGTCATTCAGTTTAAAAAAATGAATTGTACTGTATATAAATTATACCTCAATAAATTTGACTTTTAAAACATCTCATATTTAGGAAAATAGTAACTTTACAATGTTATGTGGAAATATTGTTAGCTTTCTTTATGAAACAAGTTAATTGTATCTTTTGGAAGAGAGAAAGTAGTGCTAAATTACAATTAGCAAAGCAACTGTTTTGGATAAAGCACTGCCTTTTCATGTAAAGTTTTGATTGAAATATAACAGATATAGTGTAAAAATACATAAAACATAAGTGTAAAGCTCAGTGAATTTCTCCAAATGAAACATTTATGTAATCATCAGCCAGATCAAGAAAGAGAATAGTATCAGAACGAGAAACACTTCTTGTGCTCCATTCTGAGGGTAACAACTGCCTTGAATGCTAACAACATAGGTCAGTTTGCCTGTTTTTGTACTTTGTATAAATTGAATCATACACTATGTCCTCTTTACATCTGGCTTCTTTTGCTAAATATTATATTTATGAGACTCATCTGTCATGTAATTTAGTTGTAGTTTTTGTTTCAGTTATATGGTATTTTGCCTTTAAATGTTTTTAAAACAGTCAAATGAGTGATATGTCTTATTAACAAATTATTTTAATGAAGTAGATAGAGAATTAAACTCTAAAAAAAAAAAAAGGAATGTGATAGAGTTAATTGACTTATACAACGGTGGCACTTTGGCATTTGGGCATAATCAAGACCAGTTAGTACAGTCGTTCAGAGCAAGGTCAAATTATGGGAAAAAAAATCAATAAGAGAGAGACAGAGAGAGAAAGAGGGAGGGAAAGAGAACCTAAGGCCCAAACTGCAGTTTTATAAGCTAGTGTCTATTTTAGATTGTTCCTATATACATGAAATATTTTTTCCTCCTTGAGCCTTTGGTTGAGTCACTGTACTATCACTTTGAAGCATGTTTTCACATTTGTTTTGATGATTTTTTAATAATTATCACAGCCAATTAACGAGAGGCGATGTAGTATGGTGGTGAAGTGTGCTGTCTTTGGAATTCAATTTTCTG